GGCACCGCCCGCTGGTGGGGACGTGCGTGTGCGCATGCGCGCGGGTCAGGCGGTGCTCGAGCCCGCCCCGAGAAGTGAGTCCAGGCGAAGAAGGTGCTGGAGGAGCGTGAGTCCAGCACTCTACAGGAGTTCTAAAACGTCTTACTTTACTAGAAATGCTTCTACCTTAACAGTGCTCAAGTACCAATGATGAGTAAAGAAATTATTTACCAAACCCAGATGCCTGCCATGAAGGGCTTTCCCAGTAAGAGGCCAATTTACAAAGTTTGGTTTTGAACACTTAGTCGAACTTGGTTGATGCTGAAATTCATAAAAGTACACCGGATTGTCTAATAGAGAAATAAAAGAAGTAATCAAAACCCGGAGCTGGTGCTTCAGTGTTACTTGTTAAAGCTCCACTGGGAAGCAAGAGGTTTGCAGGAGTTCAAAGGGAATTACACCGCTACCTGCCCAGGTAGTACCAGTCAGCAATGCCTGCTGTTTACCACAGTGGAAATCGCTCACATAAAGAAAATGAAACTTGAATGATCTTTTTGTGAGTGTTCACAGAATTATCTCAAGCTCATGGCTCCATTCCCTTCTGGGATAGGTTGTTCTCCTCAGCTACATGTAGCTTGGGAACCCTGGCTCCCTGGAGCTGGGGAACCAGCCTCAGGGGCCCTGAACGGATGGACCCTCTGCAGAGCCTGAACTGCAACCTAATGCCCCTACTCCCGGCACTTAGTTCAAGGACATCACAGTATGTGGGGGAGTTCTGCTGCAGTCAGAAAAAATCAGTCTGTATCTAAGAAAATGAAGGAGGAAACAAAGCAGGGACTACTGCGGGTCTGAGGTACCAACCCTCCCTAGATGAAAGTCAATTAGCACATTAAATTGCCTCTTACTGTGAAAGGCTCTTTAAGCTTGAATGCTACATTGTTATCCAACGCTTTTGCCAAAGGAGGATATTTCAGCACCTGCAGAGTGAAAAGAATGGTTTTTGTGAGCTCCTATGCTCCTGAATAGTTAATAAATCAATGTATAAATAAAAGGCATTATATGCATCTTACAGTTGGAAGCAGAAATCGAAATACATGGTTTGTTACTCCTGTTATGTACAGGACTGCACTGATCTTTTTTTCAGCTAGCAGCAATGACGGCTCCACAACTACATCAATAAAGAGGGGATGCTGGAGAAAAAAATACTGAATGCTCAAGACAGAGAGTGACTTGTCAACCAGTTTCTAACTCCAGCTTCTAAGGGTTGGATGAGTAACGGTGTCAAATTAAGCTTATGTGGTAAGATTGTAAAAGAACTGACAAGCCAGCACAGTGATATGGAAAAACTGGTTATGGCAACAGATGAAATAGCTACTAGCAAGAGGTCATTTTGCAAAACGGACAGCTTTCTCAATAACTGTGTTTCCTAGAAAGGTTTGATAAATTCTGTATTATTTCCTCCAATATGCAGTTCTTCCTTCTTGCACACTGCATTAAAAAGTCAGCCAGCTGCTAGGATGTACCTTGCTGATGACAAAGGTGACACAAAGAACTATGCAAAAGTGACCAGTTCCATTTTTGCAATTTTAACTCTCCTATTCAGTATTTGTGGGCCTGCCTGGTTCCCAGCTGTTCCGGGGGCGGGGGGGAGGGGGGAATTAATTGTTTACATTCCTGTGATGAATGCACTGCTACCCTGAAATGCAGGGGAGGGAATGTTCCTGTTCAGATTCTTCAGGTGCAGTATTATTGTTCAACTGCACTGTTGTCAAGTCCTGCAAAAGCCAAGCAAGTCTTATACCGTGGTTTTGCTTCAAGGTATCTTAGTCTTAGAGAAGGATTTATTCCGTCTTACAAAAAAAGCACAGTACTAGCTCCCATTTTTACAGTTTGTTTACCATCTCTTCTGCTGTTTTTTCTCTTAAGCAGTGACCACTGCAGCTGACCCAGGTTTTTCACAGCCACCTAGTTGCAATTCTCTGCAACCAGTGTTAACAGAAGACTGACAGTTTTCTTATATTACCTGTGCTGCTTACTCCTCCATGGGCAGTACTTTCTTCAGCAACTGAGTCACAGTGAACAGTCATCAGCTATACTGTGCTGGGAATGCTAAGTGATTTTGTAGAACTCCAATTCCTGCCATCACAGCTGCAGACTGGAGTCATGTTTCATGTAAAAGCTGTGACATAAGTAAGTTAAAACCGCATACACAATACTGAGTATTTGCGAGTTTGAACAAAGCAGCATCATTCCATATATCATGGAATAAAATGCCCAGCATGCCCTATATACTGCATTACAAAACATGTGACAGAACTAGCAGTATGGTTGAACACTGTTGCTACAAATAGCTGTTACTTAATGATGGCTTTTTGCAAGTAATGGTAACAACTAGGGCTTTTCGCAAGTTATGGAAAAAATGCACAAACATCAGGGTGTGCAAATGGATTTTTTTCACAGGAAACATCAACGTGCGGAACGCTACAATATTAAAAGGTCAGTAACAATACTGAATACCATTAAAGTACTAAAATGTGGAACAATATACATTTTAAAATTAATTACTTTAGCTTGTTTTTCAGGATGGTCACTTACCAGAGTTCTAGCTATAACTCCACTCTCTGTGATAGCCCTATGGAACAAACCCTTTTCCAGAGAAGTGTTCACCTGAGAAGCAG